ATTCCGCTTGAATTTGCTTCGACATTCCAATCTTCATTTCGTTCTTTTATCCAAATGGGCAACCAAAACCGGCGCACGAAAGTGCATAATTGATGGTTATAAGAACGGAACTGAACTGGATTTTGCTGCGCTACCATCATTGGTCAAACAACTACCTAATTAGGAAAGCAATCCACTATAACTAATTGCTGACCATTTGATTTCAAAGCGGGACCAGGTGACACCCAATCTTGCAGCATTACTTTGCAGTTTGAAGGTTCAAAGCACATACCGAATGTGGCAAGAACACTTGTTAACCTATCAAGTGCGTTCGTCGCTTCCTTCATACATTCGAAAAGATAGGCGAGTCGTAGCCAACCTGTCAGTAGTAATGCCGTTCGGTAAGATAGACAGTATGGTCCTGATTATCCTGCTTGACGGCTGATGTAGTATGAACTTTTGTAATTTTTGTCTTTGAATTTTTTAGGAGTCCGAGCGGGATAATGATTTGAGTTCTCAACCTAAGCCATTAGTTCTGATAGGAACAGCGAAATAACTGGCAAAGTTATGTCGTGGCCTCTCTGCTTGAATCGATTATTGCTTTATCATTTTTTTTTTCTGGCTAAGACACCGACTCCAATCGACCTCTCGATCTGGTTGGCAAGGAGACATTTCATTGACTTCTACTTTCAGCCATGTAATTTCTTTTTGCTTTATGAAGGCAATTCCATGTAGCTCGTATCTCAGAGGGCACCGGCCGTCACACTGCTAATGTGTTGTCTCTAGCCTTGTGTATTTGTCTTTTGACATAATAGAACCCATTCTGTAGACCACTATAGTATATAGCGTCCCCTTTTTCATTGTTATAAATATATATAAAGAAATAAAGACAAAAACGCCATTGTTGTCATGATACTTTCTCGGTCAAACGTGAACAGTCTAAGAACGGTCAGGTTGTGTCTACTGAACTGACCATTGAACACCAAGCGTTTTCTGACCAACATTCACGGACGTTCCGGGCATAGTCAAACTTCTGGCCTAAGCCCTCAGCTTGCTAGGTTGGTTAGCTAACTAGGAAATCTGGGTGCTCAGTGATTACTATTCACTAACTCTATCTCGAGCGATGGATAGAACATTTTAAGGCACACTGCAACGGTCGCCATCAAAATTAGACCCATCCATTCATACTAGGCAACTAATGTCAGTTGATATCAGTCCTCCATCTCAAATGGAAGTTACTGGGGGAGTTGTTTGTCTAATGATCTATAAGCCCCCCGACCCGGATAGATTGTCCTTATGGGCTTTTAAGGATGGAGGTTCAGCGTTGGATTGGGACTGACAAAACTCCCCTGGGTCCCGTGTGAGATAGATAACGGGTACCAAGTCATCATCATCGTAATGCGAAATACAGTTAAGCGAACTTTGCTGATCGCTGCCAAACTCGAAATGCATAAAAGGTTAGTGGTAAAATTTAAGGTGGGCAGGGATTGGACCTATTTTGAGGGAGGGGGAAGAAGGTGAACCTCTATGGCTAACACAGAGAGTGCACAGCCGAAATCTGCATACGTACCGTTTCAAGCATTCTGACCTGATAAGAAACGATAACAAGAACGCCGCTGCTGCCGGTTCCCTGCCATATCCTTCAATGTCTCCAACCAACCAGCTGTAGAGTCTTTCGGACCCCAACCTGGAAGGCGAGAGGCACCTACTCTACCTAATGGCTCTGCATTTCTTCATGCCTCGTCTCCACGCCATCTGTTGACCTCCACGTGGTATTCTCCAGCCCGGATTAGCCACAGCGAATAAAGCGCGGTGCGGCAGACGACGGCTGAGCATACGCAATACGTGCCCTAACCAGCGAAACCTAGTAACCTGCATTTGGTTTATACCTGACAGACTCCCAAACACACGACTGCTTACCTCCACGTTACTAACCCGTTCGCTGCATCCAACGTGGGTTAAATTGCGTAAACACCGATAATCGAAAACCTCTAGTCGATGGATATCTTCCACTCGCAAATTCAGGGTCTCACAACCATAAAGCAGGACTGAACGAACGCTAGCACAATATGCACGACCTTTCAACTTCAGTGAAACGTCGCGTCTACGCCAAAGGTGTTTCAGTCCTGCGTATGCTGCTGGTGTCAGAGCGGGAGTAGATGAAACCGAGTCCTGTAGCATCACTTTGCATATGGAACGTGCAAAGCACATACCGAATGTGGCTACTGCACTTGTTAATCTATTAAGTGCGCTTTGCGCGTCCTCCATACATTCGAAAAGACAGACGATGTCATCGACATACTCCACATCACAGCAATTTATTCTCCACCTGTTCATTCAATACCTGCGTTTTGGAGTCTACGACGAAATTGAACAGGAACGGCGAGAGAGAGCACCCTTGACTAATGCCGGTGACGAGCAGCCTACTTAGTTCGTTGTAGACCCTTACACGTATGTGAGTACAGTGACCTCAATAGGTTAAGGTACTTCTGGGGCATTCCTTTTCGAAGAAGGGAGCCCATCAGAGCTTCGCGGTCAACTGAGTCGAAGGCTCCTTTCAGTTCAAGGAACACTGCGATCGTTGGCCCGACGTTGGGTATGACTCAACTCAAGAATCCGACGCAACTTAAAAGTTTGATCAATACATCCACGGTCAGGTCGGAATCCGGCTTGCTGTTCACGGATGTTGGTCTCTCTTAAAGTCGTCAGACGTCAAAGTATAACCGAAGGTAGCACTTTGGTGACTTTCTTGATCAAGCTTATCCCGCGGTGGTTTTCGCAATCGTTGTGGGATCCTTTCTTAAAAATGGGAACGATCAGTGATTCGCCCCAAGATGTAGGAATGTGCTCTTGCATCCAATGTTGCGCAGTAGGGTGGTAATAGAGGTTACGAGGTTATCACCTCCCATCTTGAAAAGAGTGGGAGTGAGCTCATCAGGTCCTGCTGCCTTTCCTCGCTTCAGAGCTTGAATGCAAGACCGAACTTCTGCTANCCGCCTCACTATTTTGATCCTGGCAGGTCGGGACTTGCCGCTTTTGCTCCATCAGGGCTACTGACTCCTGAGATATCCAATGCCTCCGATGGGTTTGAGGCTCAGATCCACAAGCAACCTTCGCTGCGGAATGCATTGCTCGCCTAATCTGATCCCACTGCTGGTCTACATCACCACGCTGAAGCGCACTTAGCTTACGCACTAGCTCTGACTCATAGAGGGCATGAACTGCTGTAGCAGATGGTCGTTAATGAACTATCCGAGCTTGCTGGTTTTGTCGCCGACCAGTCAGCCGGAGAATGAACTGCATCAGAACTAATTTGTGCTCAGACTCAACGCAGGTGGTCCAATAGGACCTGCAATTTTGCACTGATCCGCGCCAACGGTAACTTACTGCTATGTGGTCGATATGAGTTAGCGTACCAGTTGAACTGGAGCTCCACGTTGACGTCCATCGAGAGCTGTGTCGGAAGTTAGTGCTTGATAGGAACAAATGATGATCTGCACAGAACTGAAGAAGTCGGTCCCCATTATCTGTTCGTTGGCAGGGCAGAGCACAACTACCGCTTAGTCAAGCTTATGATGCGCTCAGTTTTCTAACCTGCAAGTACAACTATATCGGGTAACACGTAAAGCAATATTTCCGCATGTGAAAGTCAAAAAATTAGTGTGGTCAACAGTCTCCAAAATTCTCGTGGACATTCACTTGTGTCGACTATACACGGTCCAAAGCACCGGTGACAGCGATTAAACTACTGCGCCATTGCCGCTGATGAACGCACTCAATGTCCTTACAACCTTGGGCGTCGTGAATTCTCCATAAGCAACATCGCAATGTTCTCTTTACTCTACTTCTTCAACCAAAAAGGTAATAACCATAGCCGTCTTGCGACGATGCATGGTTAATGGTTGTTCAAAGTGAGACGGAGTATGTTACGAAGTGCTCGAATGATAAATTCGTTACCACGCCCTGTTCGGATGAGTAGACTTCACTGGATGGTACACGTATTGCACCTGTCTAACACTCGGCTGCATGGTGATCATGGAGTTTGATATGAGAATGTATATATCACAATTTTGAGACCAGACTGTGTACCAAATAAATCATAGTGCAATAATCTTTATGAAAAAGAACAGCTTTCCATGATTGGCTTGTAGGCCGAATGCTGCCAGTTTGCCCCGACAAATTGATATGAGAGATACCCTCAGGGACGCTGTTTCGAGGGCTCGCTCTTACCTGTAGCGCAGCCAAGTGCGTACTGTAAAGTAGAAATGTGTTGGTGCATTATTGCCGGAGGTTCTCAGCTTCCTGAAGCCACAGGGGAGATTTGGGTACATGATGAAGACCAAATGGGAGAAGGATATCCCTGAGGGTACACAACAGTCAACCAGCATGGGTGCTACTTATGTCAAGTACTCCATTCATCCCTTCTTTATTATTATTCACGTTTATCTGCAGTCCGTACCTACCAGAGAAGAATGAATAATTTGGTTCTTCTATTGCTGTTCTCCCAAATAACTTCATAGTAGTTCCTTATGGGGTTGCCTCTTTCACTGTTAACCATCTTATTATGACGATGCATGTGACTGACATCATGGAGTCAACTCAAATGTGATGTCTTAGCAGTAGAGTGTAAACATGAGCTTTTCGGCGCATAAGGTAAAACTTCAAATGCTGCCCGTACTCTCGTTTTTCGCCTCGTGATTCCGTTATGCTCGTTTAATGGTAGTTCAACACCCCAGATGAGAAGACAGTCAAATGTTTCCAATGGTTAGCCGTATTGCATGGTGGCCCGCATGCCACTCAGCATATCACACCCTATGTCTTAACGCCTCCGCCTCACCTGCCACAACAACGCGCTTGGAGAGGTGCTTCGTGTCTTCGGCGCATTCTAGGTTTAGTGTCCTCTGTATCGTATGTCTTGGATTGAACATTGTATTTTCCTCATTTCCCTTCGGCTATTATATCTTTTGTCACCTGTAGGACCCATCGGAAACTCCAGCACCAGTCCGCATCGAAACCCGAGAAGAACGCAAAGAAAGAAAGGTGAGACGGAGTTTTAGTTGCTAAACTGTTCTCCAGAGAAAAGAGAAACAAGAACAAGCCAATTACAAGTTGGAGCAAGATTTGGCGTTATGTACGTATCTTCTGCTTCTTTTTGTCATTTCTTTGATTCCAGGGAATCCCAAGAAAAACCCAAGTGCTACATCAAATCCATATAATACCATGTTCGTGGCGAGATTAGTAAGTACCGTTTTCGGGCATTCCGCTAACGTCACATAGAATTATGATACTAGTGAATCAAAGTTGCGTCGCGAAGTCGAAGTTTACGGACGAGTTAATCAAGTAGGTTACCTTAAACCATTGGTCTATTGTTCCTTAGATTGTGCTTGTAAAAAATCAAAAGACAGGAAAGCCTCGTGGCTACGCTTTCGTGGAATTCGAACATGAAAGAGATATGCATGGTAAGTAGCTGTGGCTTATTTCGGCTCGTTTCTTTTCCTTCAAACTTATTATTCGTGGTTTAAGTCGAAAGCTAGACTCCTGTTTTATGGCTAATATATCCCATGTGTTGCCATAAACCTAGTCCAAGTAATTTTCGCTGGTTCTCACTGTACGGTTTGTTTTCTTTGTTTCACTTCAGGCCCTTATTGGTATTCTCCTGCTCATCCCCAGTCGCTTCTCGTGACTGGTCCAATGCATTTAATAACCGCGCGCAGTGTGCTCAGAATGACGCTTAACTGCTGAAAATCTGGCTTAGGTTTGTTTGAGTGGTAAGCTTATGCGAATTAGCCTACTTTTATGCTACCACGATGAAATAAGCTAAACATCAGTCCTTAAGCTACCGGTCATTTTCACCATCTGGACTAGTTTTCAATCTAAGCATTCTTTGTTCGCACTTATTCGGTTCTGGATTTATGTTCACCCCGCGGTGTCTCCTGGTGAAACGTCTTCTGAAGGCTTGTAGACCGTCTAAAGTGACAGGTGTAACGACAATGACCACGTCGATCGGCTAAAGGCATTAATCCTTAGTTATTCCTTATTCCCGGGTCCTGTGATTTATTCAACCATTAGCATGTGTTCAAGTCGGTGAAGTGTGCTCATGTATTGGATGTTACGTCCTGTCTACCCATCCCTTTGCTTCACTGAACTTCTGTTACAATCTAGAAAGGATACTGATCTTTCACCTCTTGTTCATCGGTAGATTCAGTTAACCTTGATTGGTTTTCTAGAAAACAACTTGCTTGAAATATACTCAGTTCCCCTTCATTGTGACTCTTTTTGTTTTCGGCGGAATCATCGTAACTTGCTTGCTCGGGCTTAATGATTCATTCAAGCCGCTGTGAAATCCTTGAACAACAGACGTGTGGATGGTGTGCGTATCTTGACAGACATCGAACGAGGCAGGACACGCCCTGATTGGAGACCCCGTCGTCTAGGTAAGTGAGTTTGTCAGTCAACTTTGATGAAGAACCGAACAATCTTGGTGTGTAACACGAAACTTCATGTTACATGCACGGCGTTCTCGCAATGTCGCTGAAAGTTTCCGTATGTTTTGTTATTCGCTTTTTCGGACGATCAGCTACAAAATAGTATGGTCGTTAGTTTTGCTTCATCTTAATGTATGTTTAGTTTTCTTTATTATGCTTTATCTCCTAGGTTGGTTCCAAATGAACCATGCAGACTGAGTGGCGATGGGCTTCTTGACGGAAGCTGTCATGCGGTCTTAGTCCATTCGGTCGTCAACAACTGCAGGTTGCGGTGTACCTGATGACCTTTTAAGTTGGCACCAAGATTAGCACCGCTACACAATTTGACCTATAGAAGGTTTTCCATCACGAACTCAATCTTTGCTGCATTCGTCGGTTGTGCACTAAACTACAGTTAAGTTTCAATAGAAATTAACGTGTCGTTGCACCGGGTCTTGAAAATCGTCAATGCTGTACGCTACAGCTCTCAGCTGCGAAGACGACCTAACCGTGAATAGCTAAGAATTGCCTCGTTTGATCAGCTGTAACACGATTTCCGCTGACCTGTGGAGTTCCGTTGGGCATGTCTTCCATAATGGTTAAACTCACCGTGACTTGAGCGAATCAAGTACGAGTGATGCCGATTTGTGCTACATTACCGAGGTTTCTCGTGAGTTCATTCTTGAAACCGAATGAGAAAGAGGAAAGTTAAAGCTGTTGTGAGGAAAAGTGGGAAGGTGACTCCGGCTCCTTTAAGTGATGTGCCATAGGCGATATAACCTAAACTCCCAGTTAAAATGGAAATGCGATTTGATGTTCCGGTGCTGAAGTAATGTGCGGGTTTCTCATCACTGAAGTCTTATCCCCTGTCTACCTCATTTTCGTTTCGACTTTGTGAACATAGTAGCAAACAACGCGTTTTGCTCATCTTAACCCCGTTTCTCAATATTACCAATTTGCATATTGATCGAACTGCTTCCTGCCGGTTGTCTGAGGGCTATGATATAGAATGACAGTTATTGGCAGGGCCTGTTAAATCTGTCACTGACTATAATTCTGTGCTTTCTTTTCAATCATAGTACGAAAGTCGTTTCCGAGCGTGACTTGCGTTGAGCTAACATATGCGCTTAAGCTTCTGTATATGTACATCACCTCACTTCAAACGTCGGTTCTTTCCTGTAGCAATGGAAGGTGTTCATTAGTTAGTCAATCCGTCTCTTCCGTATATTTAACCTCCTTTAACACTGCATGTAGCCACCACTGAACATTTCCGGTCATTACATCTGTTCCAGGCAAGGGTCTTGGTAAAAATCGATCTGGACCAGCTGAAAAACCAATCAAGTCATCCAGCAAGCACGAAAATGGAAAAGAACCAAGCGGTTTCGGCAGTCGGCGATATGAACGAACCTCCGGATATAGCCGAGATAAGGACTACGGTCGAAAGCGCCGGAGCCGGTCAAGAAGCCGTTCCCACGATCGCGAACGTCGCCGCAGCCGTAAGTCGACTCGTTTCACATTGAGACTCAATGCATTCATATAAACCGTAGTTACGTTCACTGCATCTGGGAACTTGATCACTCAAGTCGCGTGACGGTTGCGACTTATTGGCTCACTCAGAAGCAGTGGGTTTTAGAAGGTTATGTGCAACGAATTACAATGCTCGAGCATGGTGAGGCTAATTGCTAGGCCTTACATGTGCACCAGGTGATCGATTAGCGGGTACGCATATCTCATGGTAAATTTTGTAGTCATTTGCATACTACTTTATATATACCCCCAAAACACTAAAAAGCTAGAACTTATGTGGTAGTAACCAAAACTGTCGCATTGAAGTGCAAAGCTGATGAAAAACTGCTTTGTTAGCACGATTGTGATCAACAGCACATGAGAAAACCCGATGGTCACGAGGACATACCATTCTTCAGTGCCAACCTAAGCCCACGTATATGGGGTGGCGAAACACATGAACATTGGAGTACCAAACGAACGGAAAAGTGGTCTGATTGGTGCCTTAAATACTTGGTCCTCTTGCTTGTCT